ACAAGGTCAGTACAGCATATATAGGACTATGTACTTTTCCTTGTGTTCCTATTTGTCTGCTTTGCAAGCAGCGGGTTAGCTTAGCATAATGAATAAAAGCAGATGGTAACATAACTTGCCAAACAGCAAACTGGTGGACAACTCAACTCAACCATATTTCTTTCCATTTATCTGCACACAAACCAAGCCCTTTAGAAGAATTGCTCATTGTCTTAGAGTTTGCGAATAAAGAATTAAAATCAAGATGAATGAGTGTATTTGTGGTCTTAACAGGACAAATACAGTTATTCAAATTTATGAACAGAGGAAGGAAAGTCCTCAAGTTTCGCTTAATGAGCTTGCAGCTGGCTGTGTTTTGATGTTCATTATTTAGACATGTGGAGTTGTACTGGTTTTTCATGCGTGAGAATAAGTCAAAGCATTTGTCCTTGTTAAATTATGAATTCCTTACTTTGGTCGTCCATTGCAGCATTATTACAAGCCCCAAAAGAATAGTAAAAGGCTGTGTCATCAATGTTAAATGATAAATGTTCACTTTTATGTGTTTTTCTAGTCTCCTGACAACAATATTGATAATTCACAATTCAATGCCTCTGGGCAACTCCTGCACAAGGACACGAAATGTAGACTTTAGGAGCTAGGGATTGAACCACTGACTGTGGCATTCGTCTCCTTTATGAAGGCATAACTACACAAAGATCAAATTTGATGAAGAGGTGGTAATAGAAATATTGCAGACCTTATGAGTTTCTTGAATTCATCATTCATCACCTCATTCTAGCTCATTTTTACAACACAAACTTAAAACAAGTTGAAAAATCCCCAAAACATTAAAGAGTCCAAAATATGCCTCCAGCCTTTTCTTCTGCGGGGCAGAAAAGGAAATTTTGCTTTGAGAAAGAATGAAAAGAGATGGATGTTTCAAAGGATTCTGTGTGAAAATATCCTCACTCCGTCTCGTGATGAATGCCTTATCAGAGATGCAGCATATTTACATCTCTCGGAATTTGCAATGTGCTTACAGTATAAGCTCACTGAAGCTCGATATTCCACTTGAATCATACTATAGTAATGAAAGTGTGTGTATGCCTTTCTGGCCTGCATGTTTGTGTGTGTGTTTATATTTTCCCCTTGAAGTATCCAAATTGAAAGCCTGGGGGCACAAACTCTGATGCAGCCACTGTGGAGTTTGCACGCAGTATGCTACTGTGATTCTGCTTCTTGTGTGGGTGTATTTTCACGTCAAGGCACACAGAAATACACACATCAAAACACTATTTGTTGACCTTATATCCCTCTGAGTCTGTTAATGAATAATGAGATGTACAATGAGTAATAATTTGCTCTCTATCTCACTTGTCAATGTCACATCATCATAGTTGTTTATGTTATTGTTTTCCCTCCTCACAGTGTGTGTGCTTTTGTATTTCTTGAATATGTCCACAGTGCTTATTTATTTGCCAATGTGTTTTTATTTGGCAAACACTCCTCACCCTGTACAGTATCTGCAGAGTGAGGATTGTCCCTTCACCCCTCAGTAATCTCACTCATTGAACTGCTGTTCTTGCAATTTACACTTGGCTCAGCCCCAGAGCCACTCAGCCTTTATGCTCCTCGACCCATGGGAGTGTTAGAGTTTCTCATCACCTCTGCACTGAACTGAGCAATGTTACTATAAACAAAATGACCTCAAGTCACATCGTACATTAAGCCTAGTCATATCCTGTTCCCCGACAGTAACATTTAAATCATCATGGCGAGGTTTCTGTTGGTTCTGAACAGCACTGCCATTGAGTTTACCTCGTAAACAACATATTGTTGGAAGAAGTATTTTTACACTAAAACTAAACAACATTTACTTGAGTATTCCATTCATCACAAAAAACATTATTGAAATAATGTTTTGAACAAATAACTTTAGCATTCTAGTTCAAGCTTTTATATTTTAAGAACTTGCTATTTTAATTTTCATACATCAGAATATGAACAATAGCGCAGGCTTTGAACTGTTATTTTACTAAATAATTTTGGGCTTAATGAAATTGCCATCTAGTTAAACCAGATGTGATCTGATTTATTGTGAAATGACTAAACTATATAAATAATGACTAAATGGAGAATTGAGATTATTATGTTAAAAACAACTGATGTTATCAACATCTTTAGTTACTGACTTAATGTCAACACATGATCTCTATTTTAATCAGTATGCATATTATTTTAATAAATAAAAGAACATTTTTGGGCAAATGTTCAGTTTCTATTACTCATATCAAGCTATAAAATAAGCAAAAATGTTTGTTATAAATACGGCAGATAAAGATATTTTCACTAAACAACATATGTGACGTGGAATTTGGCAACAAAAATGAATGAAGGTCAGCCTAGCAAATCTGGATCCAGCTGATTTCTCATGCCTTTGATTCATCTTTATACACAACCATTGATTCTTGCATCATGTAGTTCAATATAAATACTATGTTGGAATGACACATCAACATTGTATGACTAACCACAAACAGGAGTAACTCAACCAGATGAGCTTGAGGGCAGTCTTGTTTACAGAGTGCTAATGCAGTGTGGACTGACTGGTCTCTTCTTTCCCAACCAGCTGTTGCTATACTTGTTTTTTTTGAGCCACATTTGCGTTTTGAAATGAGCAGCTATTTTGCTTCTACACAATGCAACAATTAATTTCATGGCCATTACAGTAGGCTGATGGAGAGACTTGACTCTTTTGTTTGAACTGGGATTAGTTTAAGTAAAGAACAAAAATACGCTCTTATCTAATATTTGTAAGGAGCTGCAGGGTGTTGAGAGAGCTCAAATGTTTGATTACTATTGACACACCACAAAGAAATTTGATAATGCGTTTTACTATTTTTTTTCCCTGTCAGTAAAGTAAAAAAAGAGAGCAGGTACTTTTTTGATTAGCCTGACAGGTAAACAATAAACATAAACTGCAAATACCAAATATCTCGTACACACACACACACATTTTTTTCCTCCTGAAACTGTACCAAAGGCTTGCCTCCAGTAAGAGATTCCTCCCTCAAAAGACAGAAGTGTGTTGTGCTCTGAGCCCTCTGCCTTTCCTCCAACACCATGCTTGCCTCTCCTCAACATCAAAGCACAGCACACACTGTTTAAAATTCATTGAAAGCATTGGATAAATAATGAAGAGAAGCTCAGAAAAGAGGACACATTGCACGATGCCTTCTCAATTCCTCAGCTATTAAAGCATGGAAAACCTTCTGACATGACCTAATGGGAAACCTTTGAAAAAACAGGAAACATAGCAAAAGGGTTACGAATAAATAGGAAAATTAAAAATGGAAAGAGCTTAATCCCCCAGGTAGAGTGAGTTGTTTAAATCTTCCTAGAAACACAGTAAAAAGGGGATGAGCTTCCTTCCCCACGATTTTTTTTCAAAGTTGAAAGACATAGTGTGATCATGTGGTTTGCCAACATCTCTTATGACATATATGAAGTGTACAGTGTCCTCAAAATACTGAAACCAAATTGCTCCCGCTGCCTCATTTTTGACTTCCCCAACTGTTATGGTACTGTTCAGACACAAATGCAGAATTAATTAGCATGATCTGATATAGATGAGCAATAAACAAGTGGGCTCAGGCGCTATAAAACACTTAAATATTAGTTTCTTGAAAAAAGTAAAGTTGGAATTGAGTTTGCAAAAAAATGTTTTAGTATCTAAAGAAATATATAAGAAGAGTTCAATGGGTGGATGATGCCACCTGAGTGTACAGTATATTATGTGTGGGCATTAAGCTGCAGTTACATTATTTTAGTGTTAACTGCCAGCAAATAATCATTATTAAAATTGTTCACTGTTTTAGGTTCTGAGGCACATCATACATTCAATTTAAACTTCTTTATTTATCAGACATACAGTCAAAATCTATGAATAAATGATGAATAATCGACTCAGCAAATGTCTTCATTGACTCAGTTTTAGACTCGCGTCATGTCGGAAGCTGAATCTTGAGGAAATGAGTTGGACAAACAATATAACAGTCACTGTATGTGTTTCTTCTCTGGAAACGGCTGCCTATTTGCAACTTAATGAGTTTAACACATTCAGTAATAAGGTGTGACAGGTAGATGGGTAAAGGATAATGAAAGTTGACATTTAGAAAAATTGAGCTGCATTAGTGGGTCAAAATGTATTTAATTGTGTCATATCCGCTAAGTTTTGCCATTAACCCTAATGCCACATCTAGAAAATAATGTGTCAAGACATGTTTAGTAAGAGAGTGCACAGTACCTGTTGCGACTGAGCTGTTGGCAGTGTAGAGAGATTTTTGGTAATCGTCATTCATCAGTCAGACAATTTATCACACATTAAACATTGTATAAGCAGTTTGAATTCTCACAGCTTGGTAGTTACATGTTTTTTTTTTAGCATATTTGTGTTCACATTAATCCATTCATTAAGACCAAATGTACAGATATTCACTTGTGAAACATATTTTGGTATTGATACTCACTGCATATCACTGTAGGATTTATTTCATGACATAAAAGACATGGTTTATACTTCTTGACCTTAATCTTATTATAACAATCTTATCTTCTATAATTTGAGCTTTCATCAGTGAACAGGTCCAGTATGTGTCAAGCAGTGTATGTCTTGTGTATATCTTCAGGGGAAAGCTTTTTTTTAATGTAATTATGTTGTGATGCATTAGACAGTATAACACTGCGCCACATGTTTTTCATTTCATAAAATGCCATAGTAGATATAGTTACAACTCTTTCTTTAATGATTCCTCCTCCTACTGTAAAGTGTCTTTAGGGAGAGCATTCTAGCAGAATAGGTGGCTGTTAAGCCCACATGTAGATTAGATAACAACAGGCCAAGGTTTTAATAAACTAAGGACTCAGAGCAGCAGAACAAATTCAATAAAAATTTTAGGAATACTAAAAATGTATTATTAAACTTAACTGTTTTCTGTTTTGTTGTTCTTACATTGCAGAGACAAGGATCTGGAGCAGTTGCTGGTAATAACAAGACATCTGGAGCACAAGGTAAAAAGGAAATACTGTAGTATGTTTATTATTAGATAGATTATGTTTGTCCTTCAACAGTCATAGGATCTAGCCTTTTTTAAAATGTAATACTTACTTTAGATGTGTTAATTTAAAGGTTCAAGACAAATTTGAATGAAGCTTTCTATATTTGGACTTTTGTTGAATAAATTGTCCGGGAAAAAAAACAACTAAGTTTGAATGAACCACATGTTTATTACAGAACATGTACCGGTACCTAAAATGAGAATTAGCCATCAGTCTACACACACACACACAAAGGACAATTTGATTTAAGGGCTATGTGCCAGTGCTCATCATGATCACTAGAGTTCATGACACGCAAGATCTTCCATAACAGGCATCAGAATTAATCTGTCATTTTTTTTAAATTCACTTTCCTTCCTCCGTCATATGTGATAACCACAAGTCATTACTGCATGAGCTCTTCAAAACTAAAATATTGAACAGTCCAATGTAGCATCATGCGTTAAAGCAAATAATATCTGCTAAAAGTTTTGAGGCATGTGTTGAGGGTTTACTGTTTCATTTTTTTACTCAGGCCTACCTTTCTTTTCACTGATCGAAAAGAGAAAGTAGAGAAAGTAGAGAAATTACACACACACACACACACACACACACACACACACACACACAAAGGACTGACTCCATTGTTGTCTGACCTTGAAAATTAATTTAATGTCTGAAAAAATGCCTTCCCAGCTTGTCTGAAGCATGCCTCTTAATGTAGCGCAAGATCAGGATGGAGGGAGAGCTCTTTCAGTGGTGAGGAGGGAGTAACGCTTCTACAGTATTGACTCTCGCCCACTCTGCATACCCTGCACACAGAGCAGAGCACAGTCTTAAGAGACAACACATTTTCATTTGGTTCTGTTCGCTTTCAGACTGCACTCTGTCAAGCGCACCAAAGCCTGTCAAATGTTGGGTACCGTAGCCACGCGTCAGTAGTTGGGGCTGTAGCTGCATTCACGTGGTGTCGGTCACATCTAAAAAAACGAGTTTCCGAGTTGGAAAATGTACAGAAACACCTGCTCAAGTCCGAACAACAAGACAAGAGTTGAGAAAATAATTAAGTGCACTAGTTGCCGACATATTCGTTATCAACATGGGGGGCAAAATGTGTTTTGTTAATGTTCAGATACTTTTTAATAGGCTAATTCACGTATGTCACATGTTTTGCTCAAATATAACTTGTAACAGAGACAATACACACATTGTCTTTGTAGCATCAACGCTGTCTGTTGTTGTTGTTACAACATCTAGACTTTCTACCGCCATTTCTAGACTACCAAGGGTTGACCACATGAAACTCCTTTTTAAAATCAGCATAAAGTTCTGTATAAAAGTGAAATAAAACCATTTGAACCTCTTCACAATGCATTTTCTTTCTTCTATTTTGTTGGCAAATTAACATATCTACACGTTCAGGAGTGAGTTGTGAGCTCATAAAATATTCTACTTGCTATAAAACAAGTCAGGCCTTGTGGTGAAAGATGAGCACAACTACGTGATCAGGGCTGAGTCGTGTGCACACGCCATTCACAATAGAGCGCCACAGGAATGAGATGTTGGCGTTTTGTTAGACCACATAAACTACGTTAGGTAATACCCCCACTTGTGAATTTTGAAGTTTATACACATCTTTAAAAAGGCGGTTGCGAACAAGTGGGACATTAAACGTCATCACGCTGGACACAGGGGCCGGGAACTCTCTCACAAATATTAGGTTAGTAAACAATTTATTAAGCTACGTGGATTAGTTTATCGGAGATCGTCTGAAGCATAACTGTAGTGACGTCAAAATCATCCGACCGTGGTGTAGTTAGCTTGTAGCGTAACGTAAGTTTTTTTTTTTTACTTCTGTCGGCCGCATTACCGCTTCAAACATCATAAAAATGCTGTTCATCTGTGAAGATTATCCTGCTGAACAAGACGCCTACGCTTCAGAAACGTGCGCTTGCCACAGAGCTTATTTTCTGCAATCATCTAAAGTCCAATGCGAAAATCCCATAGGGCGAATTCTCGTTAGACCCCATGGCGATGCTACTTCCAGGTTGGCCTACAAAAATACGTCATGTGGTTTGTTCTCTATAAGTCCAGCTGCAGAAACACTCCTTCTGCTCCGCTTCAATTTTGCCTCACTTTTCTCAGTACAGCTTCTTAGTCGTAATAACAGTAGTTTTTCTGACTTGAAAAGGTGACAGATGCCCTCTTTTGGTATAAAATGGTATTACATGTCAGTGTTTCCCCTACCATTATATTGGGGGGGGGGGGGTCTTGTTTTTAAAAACATTTTTTTTAAAGATTTATTTTGGCTTTTTGTGCCTTTATTGTAGGGATAGGATAGTGGATAGAGTCGAAATCAGGGAAAGAAGTCATTTAAGGATACCTTTCCGATAGAAAAGGACAGCTGTCATTAAAAGTAACACATGAACACCAAGATTCCTTCAAGTGTTTGTGTCGTCGTGTCGCCGTGTCAGCATGTCGGCTTGTCCCCACCCCCCCAACGCTGTAAACCTAGGAGAAACACTGCCATGTGTCAGCCAGTAAAAATTTAAACAGATTGTCGGTTAATACATTTTGAATCGGTTATCGATTAATCATTTACATCCCTAAGTGTAGTCTTTATTTTTATAGCGCAGACAAGCAGGCCTTTACTTTAAACATTTACGAGAAAGGCCTTAGATTTTGGTTTTCTGGGTTAAAGGATCATATGTTTGATAATCTGCTGTCTTAAAACCTTGTGTTCACCTGATAAATTATTTTTAATCGTACATTCCACAATACTTGGTCTGTAAGTGCAACAACTCAGTTATCACAAGTTTCTTATACAGTATGTAAAATGAATGCTTTTTTTTCAAGCTATCGTAGTAGAAGAACAGTATGTTTTGATTCTGCTATGATAGGATTTATGGAACCTGCCACCTTTTGAATACCAGCTTTTGTTAAAAAATCGACATCATTTTGTTTTAATTGTTTTGATGGTGCAGTTAGGGTAAATTGTATTCAACATAATTACCTGCATACTAGCGATAATCTGCTCATATACCCTGAATACCATAATAAATGCAGTTAAGTGCAATATTTCTCTATAAATTTAAACAAGGGTTTGTAGAAAATTCTGTAGCCTTTTCTTGTGTTCATCATGTCACTGATTAAAAGTCTACACTGGCTCAGTTTTTTGCCCCTAAAAAGGTTTATTTTCGTCTCCTGTGACATTGTCCACACAGTTGGAGTCCAGATGTGGCATACTTGGGCCATATGCTCCATATGTTCAGTGACCTTATGAGTCCAGGCGCAATACAAACTGTCCCTGTTAGAACAGCTGGGTCGACACTGGCTCTACATGATGCTGTACTGTACACACAAACCACACAGACAGAAACAATAAAGGCAGCACATGGTGATCCTTTTGTATGGCGCTATCATATGTGAAATAATAATCTGCTTATTCATGCATGACACCACAGTCTGCACCATTTCTTTTGCAGGGAATTCAAAGAACAATGTGGAAACTGCTAAGCTATAGCACTTCCCTGCTTGGTTTAAACCAGCACAGGCGTCATTTCAAACTGGCTCACCTTAGAGATCAAAGTCATCCTTTTATAATTAGCTTGAATTAAACCTCAAAGTGAACATGACCCACTTCCAAACACATTTTAATTAGCTCCACAGTACTCAATTATAACTGTAATGATTGTGTCTTATTCTGTCAGATATTGTTTATAAATTATCATCAGATCTCTTTTTCACAAGCTTCAGTGCTGAAAGAGCTCAAAAACACATAAACATCTAATGCTTTAATTTAAACATGGCACATACTTCTAATATATCTCCCCCCAAAGGCAAACACTAAGGTGACACTAAAAAAGATCCATGCACACAGCAGCAGTGCTTTATGTGTTTTAATGTACTGATCTGATTGCTGTTGTATCTCACACTTTGCTGCCACTCTAGTGTTACAGGTCTCAAGGCTGTGATCATTTATGAATTGCACACAATGACTTACAACTAGACACAAAAACACTGGCAGAAACAGTTTTCTCTCACACACAAATGTATTAAATTTAAATGTTGAGGAATTCTTATTTCTATGTATTGTCCATGAGATGAGATGTTTTTCCTTTTTGTGTAAACCTTCATATGCAGAGAGTCATTACAGCTGTCACTTTCACTTATGACGAAAGTTTCTGCTTAATGAATTGTAGTTCACACTTACCCATTCACACTACATTCACACATTGATGAAAAGGGTGCGATGTAAAGTGTCCATCAGTATTAACTAATGCCATTTATTCACACATACCCACTTCGCTGACACAGCAGTGGGAGCAATTTGTGGTTTAGTGTCTTGCCCAGGGACACTTCATGTAACTGCAGGAGCTGGGGATTGAACCCCAGACGTGCCATCTACCATTGGACCACATTCAACCCAGATATTGCATATATTGTGTATAATTGAATACATGTTATAATAACAATGTATATCAATAGACAGGGGGTGCATCTACAAGTGCCAACACAATCTGACAGACAGTCCCTGCTGTATAATTTTAGTACCTACTGTTCAGTAGGCGCACACAGAAGGCAGATATTTGTTCCTACTTCGTCTGATTCATTCAGTGTGGGAGTGGTGTCATTAGCCCGCTTCATGTTATTGACACTCCAACTTAGATGTGATCTGCCCGATGGCTCAATAAATAATACTAAGGTTCACATTGCATGAAAAAAATGTAACAACTTAACATTTGAAAGGCGCGTTACCCGAACCGGCCTCATCTATCCTCACTTTTTTTCATCCTTGTTTTTTTTTTTTTTTGAGGCGCACGTGAAGTCACGTTTTACATTTCATTTTTCGCACAGCATTGTGGGTGTTAAAATACAATTAATTTCCTGAAAGGATGCATCCAAACCATACTGTAAGTTAGTATCGATGCTAAAATGTTCAGTCTACTGAGATGGACCCAAAAAATGCCAACTGAATGACCACCAGGGTTCAGTCTACTGAAACCCCCTACTGAAAAGTCTGCACTGCATACTGAACTGTTGCTTTTCGGAAAGTGCCAGGGTAATCAAACACAGTGATGAACAAAACACAGGTGATGACAATAGGGGCAATCAGAACTGGAGGGAAACACAAAGAGGCAGTTAGAAAGACTATAAACATGATACACAGAGGCAAGAACTTCAACATAAAGAACTAATCTAAGGACACAATAAAAGTACACAGTACACAAACAGGCAGCACAAGGTTAGAATAAGAAAACCTAAAACAAGAAAATACAAACTATGAAAATTCAAAACTAAAGACCAAATCATGACTTATACTGATGGACACTTTACATACCAACCTTTACCATCAGTGTGCGAATGTTGGGTGAGTTGGTGAATATGACCTGCTGTGTAAAAAGCTCTTTCAGTAGTCAGAAGACTAAACCATTTACCATAAATTAAATGGTGTTTGCACTAAAACATTTAATATGCTGTATTGGGTGATAGAAGTAAGAAATTAGAAGGTAAGAATATTTTCGGAAAAAAATACTAGGGTTTTCAGCGTTAATCAAAATTAATGTGCATAAATTCAATTAATCACAATTAACTATTGAATTTCAGCATTTAATTGCGATTAAAAGTATATTATCTTTTGACAGCCCTCAAAAATAAGTTGCAAGTTGTGTATTTTAAGCATACTGACCCCAAATTCACCATTTGTTAAAAAAAGTAAACTCTTTCCCATATGGGTCTTCAACAAAAATAAAGGAAAGTTGACTTTTTTACTACTTCATTAAGTTTCACATGTTATCAGCTGCTACAATTACAAAGTTTATTTAAGCATTTGTAAGCAGCACCAGTTCATACAATGCTGTACCTCATTACTCTGAAAATATAGACAGATTTTTTTTTAAAAGTCAACACCTTGTATTACAGGATAATGAACATGTAGGAAGTGGACATAGTGGAGTGCCCATGTCAGTAGCTATTTTTTCCAGGGTGAAAGCAGAAAGCATTAGAGCAATGGGAAGTTTAATATCAATTCATGTAGGATTCAATGCTCGGCTTCACACAGGGGTTAGTGGTTTCTCCTTGAACAGCAAAATATAGGTGCTCAGCCCCATGGGAACCTAAGAGCAGTCAAGATAAGTCGCCTCTGCTTTACAGCCTCTATACTGTTCTCTGCACAACCCACCCTGCCCTCGCTTGCTGTCAAATGTGTGTCGCTTTTGTAGGTTCTGCCGTTTACACCCAAGCTGATTAATCTGTCGCAGGAGTTTTGCAAGGCAGTGAATTGAAAAACTGTGATGATGAGCTTCACAGGAAAACGACAAGTAAAAATAAAAAGGTTAAAAAGAGCTTACTGAACATGAGGTAACTCACTGAAAGTGGAAAATTGTAAATGGAGAAAGATGTTTTAAACCCTACAGTGCGTTATCAACTCAGTTTTCTGATCAAGTCTGTTGTATTGTCCTTGTATATTACAAAAGGATGCTAGGATCACAGTGTTCACTGGGCCACATAAATGTTTGTCTTGATCTTTATTCTTTGTGACAAGAGCAGTCTCAGACAGCCGCTGCAGTCTTGGTAAACTTGCTTCGGTAAATGTTAGCTTGTAGCTACTTCTCAAAGTCGTGAATAGCCTCTCCTCTGTGCGTGCTCGCTCCAGTGTGTTCTGTATAATACACACAGAAATACATGCAGAAGCACACTCATGCCCTCATGCAACAGAGAGTTGGATTTATAATAGGCTAATTCTTGAGTGCCACCAACAATATAGCTCACATTATAATACAGACTGTCCAGTGTCAATTATGTACGCATTACAGAATATAGCCAAGAATTCCTGCAGACAAAGTAAGTAATGAATGTTTACAGCCTACCTAACACATGTCCTGGCATGGCTGATCCTGTCAGGGGTTCTTGAGATTTTAATAATTAATGAGGATAGACTTCCTCATGCCGAAACATTCACTGTGTCTTTCTGATCCTTTTGGAAGTTGTGGGAATAATTCAGCAAAAATATAACTGTTGGAGATTGGTGTTTTAAGAATAAAGACTGAAATCGTGGCGAAATGGCAACGCTCTTAAAGGCAATGAGAGCTGACACTCTGATGTATGATTCAGGTTACGCAAAAAACACATATATGTAAAATCAAGTTGCCCAATCAAGCCGCTTTGTGCTTTGCTCATCAGATTGTGTTGCCACGTAACAAGCAAAATCTAGTTGGGCAAGACCCAAATGACTTTGTGCTGCGCTGCAAAATAGGGCCCAAAGTGTCTGGCAGATTTTTTAATTTTGTCACTTTAGAATTGTTTTGAAGAAACACTTTAAAGCAGCCCTGAATATGTAATATATGGCTAAATAATGGCATGCTAAATGATTCTAAGGCTCTATGTTTCACACACAAAGTCACCAGGCAAAGTCAAAATGAAACTGTATTTTGTATAAGCTTACCCTATTTGGGTATTAAGTTTGCATTCTTAAATGCTTACGAGTTAAGTGTAATGTTTTTAAGCAAGAGGGCCAGAAAACATATTTGGCAAACCTCTAAGTATGACACATTGCACTGAAAAATAAAATGCAGTGTTATGACCTTCAACACTATTTATTTTGCTCTTTAATTTAAGAGGGGGGAAGCATGTTAGCTTGACATGCTAGCAATTGCAGCTTTAATATTAGAATTCATAATCATTTGCTGTTGTGTTTATGGCTTTGAAAACACAATGCAAACTTTGCATTTGGTGAAGTCCAAAGAGTGAATTGGATACATCTTGAACAGATCTACATTGTTATGGTTGGTGACCTGTGATACGGTTCAGTCTGTAAAGCGCTTCAGTCACATTCGTCATTTCTTTTTTTAGATGCTTCCAAGACGGACGTTCCAGAAGACATTGACATCGACATGGATGACCCTGAGACTGAAAAGGCAGCCGTTGCCATTCAGTCTCAGTTCAGGAAGTTCCAGAAGAAGAAACATCATGAGAAGTCTTAGTGTGCACCATGTTGCTTTGCCACTGTGTGTAGAGACGACTGGTGGAAGAAACAGCACAGTGACAATGGTGTGACTTTTGCATGTAAACAAATTCCTGTTGGAACTATAAAGGTTTGTGATGGGGTGTGAGGGGAAAGAATGCAGTAGCCTGTTTATCATATGACAAGCTTGTAAATGATCATTATCCTATTATTATTATTTTTGTTATCATTATTTATTATTTGACCATGATATCAATATATAACTAAAAGGAAGAGTTGTCAGAATTGTCTGTTGCGTGTTCATTTCCTTATATCATACAGTCTAGCTTCTGTTTTGTATAGTTACACCTGCATCATTTCTTTCTCTATAGCTCAGGACTATGCATCCCTCCAAAAAAACCTGTATATGTGGGAGTAGACAGAGCAAAAACTGTTGTTGGACTGAAGGTTGTTTTCAGGAAACTTGGCCTGGAGCATCTTCAACAGAACATTTTACCTAAGGCATTTTTTCTTACCCGCATGGTACTATCATCCTTGTATCATTTTACATTGAATAAATAAAGACTCTGTTTGAATCTTGTCTAGAGTGCTTGTAGTAGCTAAGTTTGACAAACACTTTCAGCTGCTATATTGCTACAGTACGTCTATTATTTACATTTATACACAAACTAGATGAATAGCTGGAGGACCTAAACTCTGACAAACTATAAATAGAAACCTCTTCAGAGTGAGCCCAGCTGAATATATTCCCTTCCCAGCTTGATGACCTTTTCCATGTAGAGCTAGGCTAACTGACTGATTCCCACTGAGCTGTTCATAGCCTTAGGCAGATAAAGACACACATTGAACACACCTTTTAAATACTCTGTGTTTCAGTTCCTGCTTATAGATTTATTTTTCATCATGAATCTCAGAATGAATGTTCTCTTTCTGTGTTCCTTAAGTTGGACATGTATGTGTGGAAAAAAAATGATTTAAGGGAGCATTGATTCATCTGATTCTGGCACTAGTAAGCCAGCTGCTGCTCAATACTGTCTTTGACTTTCCTTCTGCTCTGTGTTAACGACTAGGCAGCAAAGAGTTTGGCTTTGCCATCATAGAACAGAACAAAACTTCCTTCATTACAGGGAATACTGTCGAGACACATTATGTGGTGTCCCTCATAAGTCTGCATAAGAAAATATCTGAAAGTACAAACGAGACTGTTGTGCTATAGTCTAAAGATTTACTTCCAAGGAATGGCAAAAAATAATCTTTCTATTTAAAATGGAAATACATTGTTTGGTAGTTTTGAAGCAAGAGATCTGTCCATCATTCATGTTAGTTTTTGAACTAGGCATCCAACAATGTGGTCCAGACAGAATTGTCACCATTACTCGATGTGTTGCAGTAAAATGTCATACAGACAATCATGTTCGAGAGAGGATAAGTTTGACATTGTATCTGGTTAGTTGACTGTCCATCTATTGTAGCACTACAAGCAGTATGGAATATGTCAACATAAATATAAATAGGGTGGCACAATCTTTTATGTCGTCATGAATCAAAGATGATGAACCCTAATGGCTTTGGTGATCTATTACTCTTGTTATGTCATGAAATTTTCATTTTTGGTGTTGCGTTAAATGTCCCGGAAAGCTATCTAGCTTATCTAGAAATTTGCGACACTCATGTTACCCTCATCAGCCTCAGCAGTATCTTGTGACTGCAGATTAGAAAAAATCACTTTAACATGCTGGAGATGATGAACATCTGGATTTTAGCAATCTGATGAAGTACAGCCAGAGAAAGACACATATTGTTCTCACATTGTTGTTGGCTGAATGAAGAAGAAAATTAAGTGTATTTCTTATAGATAACAATGTGGGCTCCAGTGGTCTTCAAAAGCATGAATAATAATGGATCCCGCTTTGCATATACATTTTACTTGGCTTGGACCTTTCTAAAATTAAACATGTGGTTAAGGTTTTCTCACAGTATCCCTCTTAGTAACAATCCTGCTCCAATACAAAATATTGAGGTTTGTTTTACACTTAAAAAGCCACAGAAGAGTGTCAAGAATGTCAGGAATTCAAACTGTCCAGTAGAATACATGCAGTTTTTTTCTTAAAATCAGGTCCATGGCACTGCACAAGGGTGGGCCCCTAAACTGTATTATATCAAGGGCTGTGATGACCTTTACACCACAGGGAATTAATCTACAAAACAGATAAGCTTTGTAAGCCTGAGAGGATTATACTGCCATGAAAAGCGCACCCATTATTGTGAAATAGTCATAGTCAAATGGGTGCATTCTCTTCATTTTAATAGTGCAATTTTTATTTAAAACTGTTGAATCTGAAGTGCCGTTTTAGCTCAGTTGGTAGAGCAGCTACCCTATATATACAGAGACTACAGTCCTTGACAAGCCTGCTGAAGGTTTAAATCCCAGATGGATTTGATCCTTTACTGTAATGCCTGTCTACTCCACTCTCTCCTCCCATTATACCCTGTCTCTCTCTCTTATTAATTCAGGCAGACAGGCCCCAAAAATCATCATAAAAAACAGTTACATTTATCGACAGCACTGTGAAATTCTTACATCGGATTGTCCTGTTTACAAAGAAATGCAAAGAAGGTTGGTGACCTACCCTTTAGCTATAAGGCGACAGAGTCTCAGAGCAGTTCCTTGTTTGTTTGGCAGCTTGTTTTATTTTCCACCCAGATGACATCTAAAAAGGATCCATGCGAGTCATCCAGAGGCCCATAGAGAATAACCGTCCTCCCAAGGCACAGTCTCTTCCCTGTGTTTGTGTGTGCATCTGTGTGCGTCTGTGTGTCTGTGGTAAAATAATTTAAATAATATATTTCTATATGGAGATTTTCTTCTGATCCTTCAAAATAACCATTTTATTGCCAAGTAAATTTACACATACAAGGAATTTGACTTGGTGTATTGGTGCTAAACAATTAACAAGGAAATAACGCAGAACTAGCAACAACTTAAATAATACAATATAAGAAGCTATTACAATATATAAAATAGAATTTAAAAATGTAAAATATAAAATATAAAAAATAATAATAATAATAATAATAGTAAACAAAAAATAAAAAAATGTTCAAAAGGTGCAATGTAGGAGCTGTGCAGTGGACTATGAGAAGAAAAACAAATCTTACAGTGAATGTAACCTACTCAAAGAGTGCATGTAAAGAAAATACATTTAAAGTCCAGTGGCCGTTAATGTAACGCATAAAGAACAGTTCAGCATTCACATTACTTTGATGTTTAACTGACTGTGGGGCTGATGAGAGTCTGGGTTATGTGGGAGGAGGGGGAGGGCAGGGACATTGTTCATGAGGCTGACAGCAGAGGGGAAGACACTGTTCTTGTGGCGAGAGGTTTTGGTCTTGATGGACCGCAGTCTCTTACCAGAGGGGAGAGTCTCAAACAGTCCATGTGCTGGGTGAGAGGGGTCGGCCACAATCTTACCTGCACGCCTCAGGGTCCTGGAGGTGTACAGGTCGTGGAGAGATGGCAGGTTGCAGCCAATCACCTTCTCTGCAGAGCAGATGACACACTGCAGCCTGCACTTGTCCTTTGCTGTGGCTGCAGCATACCAGACTGTGATGGAAGAGGAGAGGATGGACTCGATGATGGCAGTGTAGAAGTGAACCATCATGGTCTTTGACAGGTTGAACTTCTTCAGCTGACGCAGGAAGTACATCCTCTGCTGTCCTTTCTTGATGAGGGAGGTGATGTTCAGCTCCCACACAGTAGACACCCTGGAGTCGCCGATGGTGATGGGGCTGGGGCTGGGGGCGGCTGCATTTTTTATGTCATCACTTCTTTGTGTTCACATCATCCCTGAAACATTGCGGAAGGTGTGGTTCTTTCACCTTAAAATTTGAGATATATTTCAGAATTTTGAGATTAATAACGAGTGAAGTTTGAAGGCAGAATAAACAGAGGTACCTTCACTCATACATACTATGGCACTTTTGCAGGGATACACTTTTTGGGGCAGAGCTCATAAATTCTGGGGATAATTGTATATTAAAAAGAAAGAGACATTTTAACATGCACCAAGAATCAGATTATGAAATGCATTGCAAAACTTCTGATGCAATTAAGGAACTATTTCGTTTTTATAGCCTAATTTTTGCTTTCTATTTCAGTAATGTGGTTATGGAAACGTTTTAGAGTTGAACATTGAAAAAAATCTAATCATATCGATCTTTTATGGAGTAACTTTTACAGTGTTATGAAATAATCTCCCTCCTTAGATGGTTTATTGGCATTATTTTGTAGTACCCTCTGTAATACTGTATATTCACCTGTCCATGTTACAGGGGAAATGGATGATTCCACATGCCTTCCTCTCATTCAATTTATATAATTCATAAGTAGCCAGACACATTGAGCGTAAGCAGTATTTTATCTGATAATCTTGTTAGTGTGCATCAACCATGCAAGCATGTTGTGAGTAATTAAAAACAAAGAAACCACTTACTGTTTGTACAAAAAGACTGCACTAAAACTTGATGAAATACTTTCACTTCATCCAATGTTTACTGTAAAAGCTCTCCAATACATGTTGAGCTTATTCATGCCTATAACTTTAGCAAAAGATCTCTTCATTCTGTGGTGTACAAGCTGAATTTAGCCTCTAAAATAACTTTCACAAGATAGTTTGACGTCTGCAGCCTTAAACTATTTAGCTAAGATTTGTATCTCTCCTTTATCATGCTGTGTTGTACTCAATTCCAGAAATTGGACTTTAGCAGAAAGACTTGGATTTAGACTTGAGCATTTATTACATTTAGAATTGGAAGATGGATAGGAGGACTCTGACATATTTACTTATAAATTGTTATTTTTATGAAGCCCTAATTATTATTCACTTTCTGGTGATGTTCAACAGCATGCGTGATCAAGTGCTGTCTTGTTCACCTCTTCTTGTTACGGCCTTTTTTGTTTAAATTGATTGTTGTTTGCTTTTTTAAAATGCATTTTTTTTAAACTTCTGTGAGGCAACCAAATGTGTGCAGCACTGGAAGTCCAAGACAAGTGTATTGTATCTCATTATATCGTTTCATATTGTGTCATATTGTATAATTTCACAGTCATGGCAATGCGAGGTGTAAAAGGATTCACTGTTGGGCAAATGGTGTCATAAAATTCAAAATTCTGAATAATAGTGAATAATATGTTTCTTGGGCTCCTGCAGTGATCCCACATAGATGGCATCTATAGGTATGGTGCACATCTAAGCACGACATACTGTATACCCCAGTTACATCATTTATCATTTAAAGTCTCTAGAAAATTGACTTAAGATCTTAAAAATTCCATTGGGCTTTCTCAAAACTGTGTGGGTTGGCAGCTTAGTTTTTGGTTGGCGTATAACAATCAAAATTCGCCTCAGAATTTAGTGTTTGAATTGAAAGATGTTTACTTTGAGAAACTAGCTTCATGAAGGATGTAACTCTCATGTCTCACTAATGACCACTGGATCTTATCACATACTGAAAAGAACATGCGAGGCCCATTGGTTGAAGCTTATCATAAGCACAGTAAAGCAAGAGTAAAAACAGCAG